CTTCCCTCGTCCCTTCCCCTCCTCCTTCTCTCACTTCCGCCCCCCCCCCTACCCCGCCTGGTAGGAGGAGGAGGAGGAGGAAGAGGAGGAGATGGAGGAGGAGGAAGAGGAGAAGGAGGAGGAGGAGGAAGAGAAAGAGGAAGCGGAGGAGGAGGAGGAGGATGAGGAGGAGGAGCAGGAGCAGGAGGAGGATCGCTATGAAGCACCCGAATCTCTATGAAGCACCCGAATGTGTTGAGACTGGCTTTTCCCACTGTCCCCACCGCTGTCCCACTGTGCTGTCCCACCGTCCCCACTGTACCCATCACTGTCCCACTGTCCCCACTGTCCCCACCACTTTCCCCTCTGTACTACTGTCCCACCACTGTCCTCACCATCGCCTTCACCACTGTCCCCACCACCACCGTCCCACTACTGTCCCTCTGTCCCCACCACTGTCCCGCTGTCCCTTTACAACTGTCCCCACCACCACCGTCCCCACCACTGTCCGCACTATTGTCCCGCTGTCCCCGCACCACTGTCCCCACCACCACCGTGCCCACCACCGTCCCATCATCCCCACCATTGTCCAAATGTCCCGAGGAGCGGGAATCGTTTGCCGGCGGCGAGGGGGGGGTTGGGGGGGGGGGGATTCGAACCGGTAGTGAACCCCCCCCGTTTTCAAGGGGGGGGAGAGGGGGGGAGGGGCTCGAACCAGTAGTGACCCCCCCCGGTTTTCGAGGAGGGGGGGGGGGAAATGCTACTGACCCCCCCCCGCTTTTCATGAAGGACTGGGGAGGGGGGGGGGAGGGGTTCGAACCGATAGTGACCCCCCCCCGGTTTTCGAGGGGGGGGGAGGGGGGACGGGTTAGGAACCCCCAGTGACCCCCCCTGGTTTTCCGCCAGCAGCGGTAGAACACGCTCTTTCGTACCTTGAGATGGCTGGCGAGCACCGGCGCACGAACCCACTCGTCAGCAGCTCCAGGGACGTAGATGTGGAAGCGTTTCGAGAGCTCTTCCTCGCTGCTCTTGATGTGTTGCTGATCCACTTGGGCAGCAGCCAGCCAGGGGCCCAGGGCAACCGTGAGGTCCGCGGGGGTGGAGGGCTTGGTACAGTTGGCCAGAAAGAGCTGCGGATCTGGCCGCTTCCTTGAAGGACTCCGACCGCCTCCGCCGCGCAGAGGCTCTCGCACTCCAATTGCAGCAACATCACGACTAGCGCCAGGCGCCGCAGTCTGCACAGCGAAAGTCTGTTAGCAAATTCTGCTCCTCCAGGAGCTCACTGAAAGGTCGGGCTGAAAAACTGTCGGGTGCAAACACCCTGGCACTGTCGAGGGCTAGCGGTATGCGATCTTGCCAGTGCGGGCTCAGCCCGCCAAGCATCGGTCTCGAGCCAAAACGGCTACAGGAGGAAGAGGATGAGGAGGATGAGGAGGAGGAGCAGGAGGAGTTCCTCTTCTTCTTCTTCTTCTTCTTCTGCTGAAGGTGCAACGGTCCAGCGCAGTGTAATTCCGAGCCGATCGAAGCGCATGTTCTGGCGCAGGGAGCTCGCGGAGAGGCAGCAGCGGCACGATCGGCAGAGGAAGAGGAGGAGGCGGAGGAGGCGGAGGAGGAGGCGGAGGAGGAGGAACAGGAGGAGGAGGAGGAGGAGGAGACGGAGCAGGAGCAGGAGGAGGAGGAGGAGGATGAGGAGGAGGAGGAGGAGGAGGAGACGGAGGAGGAGGAGGAGAGTGGAGGGGAGGACGGAGGAGGAGACGGAGGAGGAGGAGGAGAGGAGGAGGAGACGGAGGAGGAGAGGAGAGGAGGAGGAGGAGGAGGAGGAGGAGGAGGAGGAGGAGGACTCCCAATGAGGGCCGCTGGGGGCGGCCGTACTCCAGGCAGTCCAGAGCCGGATCGGGGGCGAGGTGGGCGAGGCCCAGCGGGTGCAGGAGATGCCACCCCTGACAGCACAGCGGGGGCCAGTCCACGGGAGACCTTCCACAAGAAACCGAACCCTGAGACCCAGCAGGGCTGAACCCAAACGATGTTTTTCGTTTTCGTTCTGTTTTCGTTTTCCCTCGCTCTGTCTTCAATCCGCCTTTAACGCAAAACGAACTCGAAACAAAAACGGCCCACGAAATCGCCAAAACACCGTTCAGGCCCACCCCTTAGACCCAGGACGTCCATCGATTCTTGGTGTGGGAGCGTCACGCTGCCATCGAACACCAAGAAGCCCAGGGCACCCTCGGGGCAGGCAGGGTGTTTCTTGGCATGGGTCTCCACTGTAGAGTGTAGAACACCAAAGCCCACAACTACTGTACCTCTCTTGGCCATTGCCGCTGGCAGCGGTGGAGGAGGAGGAGGAGGAGGAGGAGGAGGCGGAGGAGGAGGAGGAGGAGGAGGAGGAGGAGGAGGGCACCCTCTGGGACCGACAGGGCAGAGCCGAGGTGCTGGGCAACGGGCAGGAGAAGGCGCTGGGCGGGCCGTGCCGCTGCAAGTGCGGAGGCCCATCGCGCCCGAGGCGGCCGCCTCCGCCCGCCACGCGCGGCCGAGTGCAGAGGAGGCGCAGGACCTCCTCGTATAGAATCTTAGGGGGCCACATGCGAACCCTGCCCCTACCCCCCACGATTTCTGAGGGGGAGGGGGGGGGGTCACTCCGCTCGGGAGCTCCCGAGCAAAGTGCCCCCCCCCCCTCCCCCTCAGAAATCGTGGGGGGTAGGGGCAGGGTTCGCATGTGCCCACCTGAATCTGTCGCCGCGCCGTTCGTTATCGACGTGCCCAAGTAGACGAAGCTGGCACCGCCGCAAAAAACCAACGGCAAGCCTTGCGTCCGAGGCGGAGTCTGCACGGGTGGCCGAGGCGCCCTCCCCGAGACGTAAGGCCACGCGTCCGAGCCAACGGCGCGGCGACATCGGAGAGGCAAAGGGCAGGAGCTGGCGTTTGCGCGAGCCCGTGCAGGATCAGGTGCAGAGCCTCACTGAGAACGAGGCCGCGGGGCTCGAGCACCACGCGGGGCTCGGCGAGGAGGAGACCCAGCAAGTGCAGGACCCCTATCACGAACGATGCCGCGGTGATGCGAGCATATGTTTCGCCTGGCGTCTCCGGTTACCCTCTGGCAGCGGTGGCAACGAATTCTCCATATCTCCATTGGTCTGAACGAGCCACGCGTCGGAATCCAGACACCCTGGTACCCAACACATCGACAGCAGAGGCGGCCTTGCTCTACTTCCGCCGGCTTCCGCAGCCTCTTCTGCCGCCTTCCGCCCTTCCGCTAGCCCTCACCGTTGCTGACCTTCTCGGCTCCTCGAAGGCCAGGTCCTTTCTGGAACGCCCCACGTGTTGGTCCTGCTCCACCTCTTCTTCGGTGCTCCGTGCTCTCGACCCCCTTCCCCAAGACCGGCCCTTCGCCCCGGGTCAGCCTTGACGCTCTCGCGCCCCAATGAGGGCGGAAATGGCGACAGACCTCCCGGCATGATGTCTGTTCACGACGCGAGGAGGATCGGGATCCTCCTCGGTGACTCGGTGGTGCAGACGACCTCGCGTCGAATCGCCGATGCCTCGAGCCCACCCCCCGCGACCTGGGGTCGGAGGGCGAGCAAAAACCGAGAGGCAAACAGAGAGAAGGAAGACGGATGATCATCAATCGGATGCTGGGTCCTCCCACAGCTCCTCCTGATGCGCCGATGCGCTGGCGGCGAAAGAGTCGTACAGATGCCGCCCGGGGGGGGTGATCAAACTAATGCCAAGTGACTCCTGGAGCACCGCTCCAGGCGCCACCGGCAGGTATCTGTATGCGGTCTGCAACAGGTGGCACGCGCAACCGACAAGAGACAAGGGGAGGAGGGGAGGAGAAGCGGAGGAGGCCTCATAAAAACGAAGAAGACTCCTCCTCCTCCTCCTCCTCCTTCTTCTCCTCATCCTTCTCGAGAGGAGGGGCCGTGACGGAGGCGTCTTCGGTCGGTCCCTGCCAGGCTCGCCTGTCTGGCCCCTCGCTTCGCTCGCTCGGTCCCGGTCCGTGCTTCGCGCGCTCGTTCGGTCCCCTCGTCGGCGTCTTGCAGGGCAGTCGAGCCTGGACGTTGGCCCACATACGAGTCAGAGAGTACATGAACCTGGCGCGGTCTAAATCAGGGAAACGCTTCCCAAGCAGCACTGCTTTCAACTGCTTGACATTGCTTGGCATTGCCATGCTCTTCTTGGCGTTGCAGAGTCTTTCATTGCTTGGCGCTGCTTGCCATTGCTTGTCATTGCTTGGCCTCGCTTGGCCTTGCTTGTTGTTCCGTTGCATTGCTTGGCCTTGCTGGGCATTGTTGGCATTGCTCGGCTGTGCTCGGCAGAGGAACACCACTGCAAAGCAGCGTGGCCAAGCAACCCCGAGGAACGCCACTGCAAAGAAACAACAACAAGCAACCCCCAGGCACGTCACCCTCAGGAAAGAAGGCCGAAGAACCTTGGGAACTCCCATGCAACGATACAAGACCAAGGCACCACGGATAACCTGGCGACGACCGCGTCCGGGACCCACCGGTTTTTTGACAGACGGGTGGGACCCCCCAGGCAAAACCCGGCCAGGGAACGAAAAGCCGAGACGCAGGGTCTTGGGCCTGAAGGGCGGGGCTCTCGGGCGGGAAGGGGGCGTCCTCTGGGTCCCGGGGGGGGGGAGGGGGGAAGGGGGGCTTGGCGGCCTGGGGCAGAGGGAGCTCTCGCTGACCCCCCTCCCCCCCAGGGGCCAGCTCGCCATCGCTCGGACGTCCATTCCCTGTGTTTTTTTGCGGTCTCGTGCGCGGCTTTTCCGCCAAATGGTCGAGGATGCTCCTCGATGGTCCTCGCCAAAGAAAAAAAATGCACACGTCCGAGCGATGCCGAGGAGGAGGAGGAGGATAGGAGGATAGGGGAGGCGGAGGAGGAGAGGAGGAGGAGGAGGTGAGGAGGAGGAGGAGGAGGAGGAGGAGGAGAGAGGAGGAGGGAGTGAGTAGGAGGAGGAGGAGGAGGAGGAGGAGGACGAGGGCAAGGAGAGCTCCCGCGGGCCGCCCCGCCCCGGCGGCCTTGAAGGTCAGGAAGTCGTCCACGCTCAGCAGCTGCTCCACCTCTCCGGAGGCCGCGGGGCGCGGAGAGCTCTCGCCGACCCGCCCTCCCCCGTTGCCGCGCGGCCCCCCGTGCTGGTCGAGGGCTCCTCCTCGGTCCTGCTCTTCTTCCTCCTCCACCTCATCCTTCTCCTCTTTCTCTTCTCCTCCTGCCTCTCTTCACCCCCTCCTCCTCCTCCTCCTCCTCCTCCTCCTCCTCCTCCTCCTCCTCATCCTCATCATTATCTTCTTCTGTTTGTTCTTCATATCCTTCTTCCTCCTCCCACTCCTTTCCTCCTCGTCTTCGTCCTCCTCCTTCTCCTCCCCACAACCTCGTCCTCGGCGTCGTCGCCCTCGTCCTCCTGCTTCCCCTCGCTTCGCCCCGCGCGGGCTCCAGATCCTCTCAGCGTCGTCTCTCGGCGAGCCCTGCCTGCCGGACGCCGACGGATCGCCCTGCCCGTGCCTGGACAAGGGGCGCGCCAGAGCCTCGCCACGGCGGGCCCCGCGGGGCACGCCGGGGGTCGTTCCGCGGGGCGCACCGGGATACGCACCCGGGTACGCGCACGCGTGTCAAGGGACGTGCCAAGGGGGGACCCGCCAGGGGGACGTGCCACGGGAGGCGCCCAGGGCGTGTCCCGGGGGACGCGCCAGGAGACGTGCCAAGGCACGCGGCAGAGGGCGCGCCGGGTGACGGGCCGCGGCACGCTCCTTTCGGGGGGATGCGCCATGCCCCAGAACGCGGCAAGGGACGCGCCACCTGGCGAGCCAGGGGACGTGCCGGGAGACGCGCCATGGGGAGGAGCCGCGCAGCGTGCTGCAGGACGTGCTGCGGAACGCACCGCACTAGGAGCCAGGGAACGTGCCATGCGGGCGGGTCAGGCAACGTGCCAGGGGACGTGCCAGGGGACGCGCCACAGGACGCACCGGGAGACGAGCCACGCGACGCGCCGAGCGCCCTGCCAGGGAACTTGTCGGGGGACGCGCTCGAAAAAAAACGTGCCAAGGGACGTGCCAGGGGGCCCGCCAGGCGACGTGCCAGGGGGCGAGACACCCTGCTCTATAGGCCTCCCCCGCTGCCTCCCAACGCCCCCTTCTCGCCATCCCCGGGGAAAGGTCCGAGGATCTTGCCCCCGCGATCCCTCGTACGTTACGCGTGGTCCGCGCTCCAAGGGCCTCGGTCCCTTGTAACTCCGACCAGCCCTTCAGAGCGTAAATGGATTGCGAATTTGATTTTTCAACTCCTTCTGCTCTGATGCATGCTGATGGGTGAACCCTGGAGCAATGTCCGAGGGGACGGCCGAGGACGGCGCCGAGGAAGAGGCAAATGCGGACCCGGAGAGCAGAGGGCGGCGGCGGGGTCCTGCGCTGGCGCTGGATGGCCCCAGAAAGCCCATTGCCCTGGCCATTCACCTCACGGCGGAGCGCATCGCGTCCTGCCCGCACAGGGCGGCCCAGCAGAGTTGCTCCAACTGCTGAGTGCAGGGGTACAGATGTCGATCCTGTAGGCCATGCTCGCCCGAACGTCTGCGGGCAATGCAACACTGGGTCTTGCTACGGATCACCCCATCCTCAGGTGGTTCGCGACAATCTGCTCCGCTGGGTGTTGCGCCTCCCCCTGGCGGTGGCGGACGCAGCGGGCACAGGTGAAGAGGAGGAAGAGGTGGAAGCCTCAGTCGCGGCGCTGGGAGTGGGCACGGCGTCTTCAAGGGTGTACCCTGTGGCCCAAAGCTTGGACTGAGTGCGGACGCTTACCTCCGGGGTGGAGAACCACTGCGCGCGCGGCTGCGTTGGCATCGATGGCTCTCCTAAGTCGGGCCTGTCCCCCTGCAGGGGGATTGTCGACGAAAAATAAAAATACACCATAAATAATCAAAACATGCCCCCAAAATAGTCCGGGGACTATTTTGGACTTTTTTTTTTTTTTTTTTTTTTTTTGTTTTTTACCTTTTTGGGGTATTTGGGGGGTATTTTTTTATTTTTCGTCGAAAATCCCCCTGTAGGGGGACAGGCCCGACTTAAACGTACCCTGCAATCCTCCTCTGAACGCCCTCGGCCCTCGGGCAGCGGCAGGGGAAGAGGGGGCCAGGGAGGACGAGGAGGCGACGGCCGAGTGCTGCGATGATGCGAGGGGAACTGGGACACACAAGGAAATACACACAAATAGCCAGATTCCCCATATTTTCAAACATTTCCTGGGTTTCTGTCTTCCCCCCCACGTCCAATATCTTCCTATATTTTCGGGGGAATCGACGATTCATTGTGTCTGTGTGTTTTTTCCCTCCCGAATGACGCGAGGCAGCACAGGCTGGCGCAGCAGGGCCAGCCCAGCATGGCTCGGGCGGCGGGCAGCGGTCGGTCCCAGCGGGCGGCGAACCCGCAGCTGGTGATGGCTGCCTGGACCCGTGGGCGCTCGAGGCAACCGGTGCTGGAAAACGCGGGCGCGGTATGACTCAGGCTGCTCTGCGGATCGGGAGCGGCCAAGAGGGGGGTGTCCAAGAGGGGGGGGTGCAAATCATGACCGGCGGCATGTGCGCGGCCCAGCGGGGGGGCCAGGGACGCAATAAAATAAGAAGAGGAGCCACGAAATCTGGGGAGATATCATGGCCCACGCCATGATATCCACCCACCCCTAGTCATCACCCCCCTCTTTTCCGCCCCTGAGCGGAGTGTGCTGACGCGGTGTCGCCGACAAACGCCCGGGGTAGCGAGGGCTACGGAAGAGCGGTTGCGGGCGCGGCAGCGGCAGGAGGCGCGGCGAGGAGGACGGAGAGGGTCTCCGCCAGGGAGCGCCCGCCGGAGCGCCTCGCCGAGGCGCGCGTCGGCCGGCAACCTCGAGGGGGAAAGCCGTCGAAGGGCTTGATCGACCTGTTGCCTGGGCCCAGTACAGTCGAGGCGTTGACCTAAGGAACCCTAAATCAGGAACGAGGCTCCTTTTTCCCGTAAGATCAACCTCGATTTCCCATGGGAAGCCTCAGGACAACCCGAGGCAAACTTTGAAGCAATCAAGGAACACCGAGCCCCTCCCCAACGAAAAGCGTTCCTTCTTCAGGGCCCCGACTGTAGGTCGAGGACCTCTGAGATCCGGCGGCCCTGGAGGATGTCGCAGGCGCCGCGGCCTCCTCAGAGCGGCTCCCTCCTCTCCTCCCCCCCCCCCTCCTCCTCCTCCTCCTCCTCCTCCTCCTCCTCCTCCTCCTCCTCCTCCTCCTCCTCCTCCCCCTCCTCCTCCCCCTCCTCCCCCTCCCACTCCTCCGGTGCGCCCGAGCGCAGCGCGCTGCCGCCGCACGGCGGGGGTGCGCTCCGGGCGGGGCATCCCAAGCGGGTGCAGGGCGGGGCGAGGCGCGGCGAGGCGAGGCCCACGACGTCCCACGGGGGACGGCCCTACAGGGCAGTTTTTTAATACATGGGATTTCAAACAAATGTGGGAATTTTAATACATGACTACTTTTAACGGGCGAAGAGCGGTATACAATAAACTTTCTCGCTGTCGGGGGCGACTGTCCCAGGGCGGCTGGAAAGTTTATACCTTTACGGTGGCACCGTAGGGGTATAAACTTTCCAGCCGCCCAGGGACAGGCGCCCCCGACAGCGAAAAAAAGTGTTACACCGTTCCTCGCTCGCTGATAACTGATGAATAAATTTATGCATGAACTCGTCGTTGTTTTTAATACCAGGTCCCTGCATTTTGAATACATGATCCGCACGCGGAGCATGTATGACAAAAAACGGCACTGTACGCTCAACCCAACAAAAACAAGCAACACCACCCCACCCACGGCCCTCCATGTTGCGCCACGGCCCACCGGGGGCCGTAGCGCAGACCACGCGGAAGCCCACGCCTGATTTCCTCGTGTAAGAGGGGAGGAAGAGGATGGAGGAGAAGGAAGGGGAGGAGTGACGCTTGGGATCGCTCACTCCTCGTGGCCAATGCGCCAGGGGTAGGCGACCGCTGTCAGTCCGAGCCCGAAATTGAGACAGCGAGGTGTTTAGTCAGGCTCTGGGGGGGAAGTTCGGTTGGTCCCAGGATCCCGTCGGCAAACTTCTCCCAGGGAATGCCTGGTCCGACTTTAGGCCCTTGGACCCGTACCCCCCCCCCAGAGCGTAGTTGTGGTTTAGCAAGTCGGAGGGCGCAGCACTCCACAAAGTGAGAGCTGCGCGGGGTGGATCGGCGACGACCGATCCCAGCGCCCGTGGCGCACCCCGTGCCTCAGGGGTCCCCCCCACTCCTCCTCCTTTCCTCGATCGACCGATGGACGCTTCGTCGTTCCTCTCTCGTCCGTCCGTGTGCCGAGCGAACGCTTCGAGGCGGCTGCTGCCTGTCGCTGCCGCCGGCGGCAGCACAGCTGGCCGCAGTCCCTGCCGAGCACCAAACGGCGCCAGCGGGGGGCGCCTTCCCGGACCGCTCGACGACCGTCCGCAGCGCTGGAATGAGAACGCGGAGTGACGCTTCCATCGTCTTCCCTCTCATCCCATCCTCTTCCTCCTCCTCCTCCTCCTCCTCCTCCTCCTCGGCCGACCAGCAGGTGGTGCAGGCCCTTGCTATTCTGCAGGCCGTGCTGGCAGAAGTGCTCGAACTGCTCTGGGGTGATGTCCACCTGGGCGACGCAACAAAGGGAGCCCTTCGCGCTGGGACGTGAAGACCTCACGCGGCGGCGTCACGCGGGCCGACAGCGCAATACTCCACGCGGCCGACTCGGGACATCCCGAATCCCAGCTTGTTGCCGTCTCGCTCTCGCTCCCGCCGCCTTCCGCCGACCGCAAGCTGGCGGGCGGACCCGCCGCCACTCTGCTTCCGTCGGCATCCGTCGGAGGCGAGACATCCCGAAGGCGAGGCGCCTTCTCTCGTGCGCCACGCGTGGAGACGAGGGAGCCCGCGTGCGCCCTCACGCGGGCCTCTTGCCCGAGAGTGTCCGCGCAGTCGCGCCCGTCCTCTTGTTCCGCTGCCCGCCTGTGCATTAGGTTCGGTGCCCTGCCCCCCACCATCGCGCGCCCGGAAACGCTGGTCATCTGCTGCTGGTCCTCCTCTTCCTTCCACCTCGCTCCTCTTCCTCCTCTTCCTCCTGCGCTTCCCCTTCCTCTTTTTCCACGTCCCTCCTCCGCTCTTATCCACCTGCACTTCTGCCCTTATCCACCTCCACCTCTTGCTCCTCCTCCTCCTCCTCCTCCTCCTCCTCCTCCTTCTCTTCCTCCTCCATCCCATTTGCGTATGAATGATTCGCCCCTGCCGCAGCCCCCCGACGTGTCGGTAGGGCGGGCCACGCGTTTCGCCTGAGACTCCCTCACCACCCCTGATCCTGCAGCTTGAAATTGGGCGGCCCGTTTTCAAAACGTGGCTCTCGCCTCGGCGCCGCGCACATGATGTCCTTTCTTTCTGTATCTCTTTCGGGCGATTCCGCAGCCCCTGTTCACGACGTACCTCAGTTTGTACTGCGTGACCGCATCACTGCAAGCGCTCACCTACGGTGCGAGCTGCCGCCCTTCCTGCCTCGACCAGCGCCTCTTCCCACAAGGGGCGGTGGCCTGCCCCGGCCTCTCGCTGGGCTCCCAGACACGCGCGACTCTTGCCCGTGCAGTGCGATCAGGCGCTGCAGGCCCAGCCACGCCGTGTCGCGGAAGCCGAGCACGCGCGGCGTCCACGACTGCGCGCCGTGGCCGCGACGAACGTGGGCGTCCCTGGAAGGAAACAAACGCCATGAACCTAAACTCTTGGCGCTCCGCGCGGGTTTCTTGGATCCGCGTTGGACCCCACCCCCACCCCCTGGCGCGCGGAGCGCGCCAGGGGCGGCGCCGGAGGCGCCGCCAGGGGGGGCCCAGGCGCGGATCCAAGAAATCTGCGCGGAGCGCAAACAAGTAATGTTTATGGCGTTTTTTCTTCGAATCCCGGGACACTTGCGCTCTCGCTCACGCCTGGCTCCAGCGCCCGGTCCTGGCAAATAGAGACCAGGTGATCGTGCGACGTCGTTGCACGAGAACGCCTCAATCCTCGTTCTGCGCCTGCCTGATGCCGAAGGTGATGGCGAGGAGCTGTCGCTGAAGGCGGTCGAGTCTGCTGGCGAGCGTCTTCTGGACTTGCCAATCGCGAGAAACGATACGTTATAGCGTTTCGACATTGGGCGGGAGAGGGGGGCCTGGCTCCGGACCTCTGTTTACTGCGACTGTTTGGAACCAGGTGTCCTATGGGGGAGACTCCACCTGCTCGAAACAGGCGCCAACAAAACAGCCAAGATCCACTCCATTGGTGGGGTGGGGAGGGGTGTGTGCAAAAAAGTCCGCGCCGCTTTGAAAACCAATGAATAAAACAACGATCGCTACTTGGCTATGCTCAGGACCCCGCTGTTCAGGAACCGAAGCTTGGCACCCTCGGTTGCCCGGCGCAGCCCTTGATCCAGACCGTGCAAAGAGGCCAGGATCCTCGCCGCCGCGGCTGCCGCGCAGCACGAGCAGATGCCTCCGTTGAGGTCAATGATGCGGCCCAGCTGTTTCATGGGCTCCATCTTGTCCCAGATGTGCTGTGAAACCACGCTGTCGCTCCCGCCCTTGCAAGCAAGGCGTTCCTGGGAAACCTCTCCGATCTGCAAGCTCCAGCGCTGATTGACCTGTTTCGCGCCATCGTCCTGAACGCGGATGGCTGCTGCTGGATCCTGGGACGCCGCGAAGAGGTTGTCCACGAAAGATATTTAGCCAATCCCTTCGTTAGCGACGCCGCGTCCACAAGCGGAATGCGCCCGGCCGCGCTGGCGCTCCTGGAGCCAGTGTGCGTGCCAACGGTGCGCTGCGAAGGCAGACCCTATCTTGAGCACGCCGAGCGGGCATGCATGCAACTTCACCAAGGCGGCGGCCTCGACTGAAGAACCCCTTCCGTCCCAAGCCATCTGGCAACGCGAACTGCTCGCATGGCGTCGTCAGACTTCCGAGCGTCCTGCTGGCAGGCGCAGCCCTTGGACTCGCTGGCAGTACCCTCTTCGATGACGAGCGCCAGCGGGTGAACGCCATCTAGAATCTGGCGCCTGCTGTTGGCGAGCTCGAGATAAGGCGATATCGACGCGGCCGGCAACACACGGGCGGCGTACCTGTCGACAGTTTTGTGCACCCGCTTTGCTAAGAGGTAGTCTTGAGGGACGCAGAAACGCCCCTACCCTGGGTTGCGAGTGCGTGACCTGTAAACCTCCTGGAAGCTCCCAGAGGCCAGAGGACCGCCAGGACGCCGCGCGACACGCGCGAAAGAGGGCTTACCCTGTCAGCCCACAGTAGGAGGTTCAGCGCACAGCGCCTCGTAAAGCAGGGTAGGGGCGTTTTGGGTGACCCAAAAGGGGGTCCAGCTGAAAGGGGGTGGTGCAATAGATTTGGGGAAATTGTATTGCAAATGTATTGCGCCAGAGAATTGTATTGCATTGTATTGCAAGTAATTCATTGCACGCGAAAGTCCAGCAATACATTTGCGCCCCGGAATGTACAGCACACCCCAACTGTAGTGCAACCCCACAAACCTACTGCACCAAATCTATTGCACCACCCCCCTGTCGCTGGACCCCCTTTTGGGTCAACCCGAGCGGTTTCTTACGCCCTTGGTGGTCCATGACCGCCAGGACCACCGGCAGGGGAAAAAATGGTGCGGACCCTGGTGGGCGGGCGGCCTCCTGTCTCGAATGGACACGGGCCGCGGCGACACCGACAGCGAGTCCTGTTCAGAATGAAGAGGAACTGCTGTTGGGCATTGTGCCCATCCTTTCCGTACCCATCTCGGGCGTCCAAAGCTTTGCTAGGAGGTACTCCAGATTTCGTGATAAAGGGAGGGGGGTCTCATTTCGGGGGGGGGTCTCTTCCAGGCTATCTTGGAGGGCCTGGGGGGGTCTGGGGACGACGTTTTGGGGGGTTCTCCCACGGGGGAGGTCTGAAATGGCTTGTCTTGGAGGGTCCAGGCCCCCTCCCTTTTCTTACGAAGTCTGGAGTAGCCCATGGCCGCCAGGACCACCGGTCAGGGGAACAACAAATGGTGCGGGCCCCGGTGGGCGGGAGGGCTCCCGGGCGCTCCGCGCTCGCCCGGCCCAGGGCAACAGGAGTGCCCAGTCCTTTAGGAATCCCCAGAGGGGGTCCCAAGGGAATTCGATTGGGAATCCCTGCAGGGCCATATTTAATACATCGGATGTTTTAAACATACAAGATTTTTGATACATGATTAATTCAGGAATAAATGTATGCATGAACTCATCGTTGCTTTTAATGCGAAATCCCTGCATTTTGAATACATGATCCGCACGCGGAGCATGTATGTAAAACTGCCCTGTAAAGAATCTTGAAGCATCCCGGAAGAATCCTCAGGAAACTTGAGGAAATCCTTCGGCATCCGCCGACCCTGTCGGCGTGTGGGGTGTCTGTCGGGTCCCGTCGACAGGTCGAGGAGAGCCTTGTGCACGGCGTCTGGCCTGGCCCCGTGGAGCTCGAGGGCTGCACCCGTGATGCCGCTCTCGTCTTTGACCGCCGACTTGCGGGGGCCCGCGAGCGCATCTGAGAGCTTTTTTTTGCTGAAGGTGATGCCGGCATTGCCGCATAGCCGGAGGAAGTCTCTTTGCACGCTTAGGAGCTGCGGGTTACCGCGCCGCCATGGACCACGGAACTCTGCCTGGATTCGTGAAGCCCACTCCTGGTGGTCGACAGTCTCACTGCCGTCAGGAGTCTGCATGGCCCGGAGCGGTGACAGCTTCTCAGATTTCCAATTCACCTTGCCTTCATTCAATCGCTGTGCATGGCGAATTTGTCGAAGTGCATTAAGCCAAGTGACCAAGGCTTTGTGGAAGCCCCTGCAAAGCCATTGCCACTTCTCCGCTTGATTGGGACGGTCGGCCCCGAGGCAGCGCAAGAATGTACACATTCTCCCGAAGCTGTATCCGAGCCCAGCGGCATCTCATGCTGACGCCGGGGACATGTACTCCGTGGCAACTGCCTTTCTGACTCCCGGGCCCTATGCCGCCCTTCAAAACTGACAGGGCACACTGCTTTGGCAATTCCTGTAGGAACTGCAAACTTCGAGTGTAGAACAGAACGCGTCTCAAGTGCACCCGCAGTCCTCCTGACTCGCAGCAGCGCGTGACGTTCTAGGTGCAGCTGCGGCTGCTGGGCCTACCAACCCCTTCGCTCACCCTGCGCCCCCGGCTCCGACCCCCCCCACCTCCCTCTGTAGAAGTCGACCCAGCTGCGTCTGCCTATGTTGCCCGTGGAAGGTTCCAGTGGTCTGGAAGCGGCCTCAATGGGTCTGCCACACCTGCCTTAATCGCAGCAAGCTGGACCCTTTGTTCCGTCCTCGCTTGCCTGCAAGCAGGCCCACCCAAGGTCGTTGTGCTGTCAATGCACCTCCGCGGGCACATTCTTGTGGTGCACCAGCATGTGGGAGGAATCATTCTCATCAGCATGACGTGAGGATGTGTGAATGCGTCGGGACGGCTGGGTAAACTGAATGAGTCTTGCCCCAATGGACCTAGTAGCGCCCACCTTCAGGCAAATTAGAGACGAGTCCGTGAGGGTATGCGGTCTCCTATGACGAAGGGCTATGGTCAGGCACTTGACGAGCTCGTCCAAGTTACACAACTCGTTTCCTAGTTCTTGGCTGGATTGCACCGCAAATTGTTTTCCCTCTTCCTCCTCCTCTTCCTCCTCCTCCTTCTTATCCGCATCCTCCTCCTCTATCATCCTACTCCTCCTCCTCCTTCTTATCCGCATCCTCCTCCTCGATCCTGCCCCTGCTGCTCTTTTGCCGTCCTCCTCCCTCTTCCTCCTCGCCAATGTCTTCGTCCAGATCCTGGCCCTCCTATTCCACCTCCTCCCTCTGCCTCCTCCTCCCTCTTCCTCCTCCTCCTCCTCCTCCTCCTCCTCCTCCTCCTCTTCCTCCGCCTCCAATCTCCTCGTCGTCGTCGTCCTCCTTCTCTTTGTTCCTACTCCTCCTCCGCCTCCACCCTTCTCCTCCTCCCCCTCCTCCTCCGCCCTCCTCCTCCTCCTCCCCCTCCTCCTCCGCCCCTCCTCCTCCTCCTCTCCTCCTCCTCCTCCTCCTCCTCCTCCTCCTCCCCCCTCCTCCTCCTCCTCCTCCTCCTCCTCCTCCTCCTCCTCCTCCTCCGCGTCCTCCCCCTCGTCCGGCCCAGGAGGCGTCGAGGGATTAAGGGCGATCGCAAGCCTCGAAGCGCAAACCGCGATGCCCAAAAGAGCGATCGACCACGGCGGCGACGGCCACAACTCCGTCGAGGGCCGCCCGGGCCAACGCTTGCGACTCTGCAGCAGAAGCGCACACAGGGCAGTTTTTAGCACATCGGATTTCTAAAGCTATATATATATATATATATATGAATAAGTTTATGCATGAACGCGTCGTTGTTTTTAATACCACCCCTGCATGTTTAATGCATGATCCGCACGCGGAGCATGTATTTTTATCCCGGAAAGGCAACCTAACAGCGATGTGTAGGAGCATATCTGGAAGCATTCCCCTTAGGATTCAGATGAGAATCCAGTTGCAGAATTCTGCTGTTCTCGCAGTCGTAGTCGCATTCGCGATACCAGTCGCAGTGTCAACGGCAGTCGCAGTCACAGCCTCAGCCTCAGCCTCAGCCTCAGCCTGCCTCAGCCTCAGCCTGCCTCAGCCTCAGCCTGCCTCAGCCTCAGCCTCAGCCTGCTTCAGCCTCAGCATCAGTCTGCCTTCGGCCTCGGCCTCCGCCTCAGCCTGCCTCAGCCTCACCCTGCATCAGCCTAAGCCTCAGCCTGCCTCAGCATCAGCCTGCCTTCGGCCTCGGCCTCCGCCTCAGCCTGCCTCAGCCTCACCCTGCATCAGCCTAAGCCTCAGCCTGCCTCAGCATCAGCCTGCCTCAGCCTCAGCCTCAGCCTGCTTCTGCCTCAGCCTCAGCCTGCTTCAGCCTCAGCTCCAGCCTGCCGTCGGCCTCGGCCTCAGCCTGCCTCAGCCTCAGCCTGCATCAGCCTCAGCCTCGGCCTCAGCCTGCCTCAGCATCAGCCTGCCTCAGCCTCAGCCTCAGCCTCAGCCTCGGCCTCAGCCTCAGCCTCAGCCTGCTTCAGCCTCAGCCTCAGTCTGCCTGCGGCCTCGGCCTCGGCCTCAGCCTTCCTCAGCCCCAGCCTGCCTCAGCCTCAGCCTCGGCCTCAGCCCCAGCCTGCCCCAGCCTCAGCCTGCCTCAGCCTCAGCCTCAGCCTGCCTAAGCCTCAGCCTCAGCCTCAGCCTGCTTCAGCCTCAGCCTCAGTCTGCCTTCAGCCTCGGCCTCAGCCTCAGCCTCAGCCTCAGCCTCGCCTGCTCAGCTCAGCCTGCCTCAGCCTCAGCCTCAGCCTCCAGCCTCGCCTCAGCCTCAGCCTCAGCCTCAGCCTCAGCCAGCCTCAGCCTCAGCCTCAGCCTCAGCCTGCCTCAGCCTCAGCCTCCGCCTGCCTCAGCCTCAGCCTCCTCAGCCTCAGCCTCAACCTGCCTCAGTATCAGCCTGCCTCAGCCTCAGCCTCAGCCTGCCTCAGCCTCAGCCTCAGCCTTCAGCCTCAGCCTCAGTCTGCCTTCAGCCTCGGCCTCAGCCTCAGCCTGCCTCAGCCTCAGCCTGCATCAGCCTCAGCCTCAGCCTCAGCCTGCCTCAGCATCAGCCTGCCTCAGCCTCAGCCTCAGCCTCAGCCTCAGCCTCAGCCTCAGCCTGCTTTCAGCCTCAGCCTCAGTCTGCCTTCAGCCTCGCCTCAGCCTCAGGCTGCCTCAGCCTCAGCCTGCATCAGCCTCAGCCTCAGCCTCAGCCTGCCTCAGCATCAGCCTGCCTCAGCCTCAGCCTCAGCCTGCCTCAGCCTCAGCCTCAGCTGCCTCAGCCTCAGCCTCAGCTGCCTCAGCCTCAGCCTCAGCCTCAGCCTCAGCCTGCCTCAGCCTCAGCCTCAGCCTCAGCCTCAGCCTGCAGCCTCAGCCTCAGCCTCAGCCTCAGCCTCAGCCTTCAGCCTCGGCCTCAGCCTCAGCCTCAGCCTCAGCCTCAGCCTCAGCCTCAGCCTCAGCCTGCCTCAGCCTCAGCCTCAGCCTGCCTCAGCCTCAGCCTCAACCTGCTTCGACCCCAGCCTCAGTGTGCCT